GCAACCTTACATCTAAAGTAGATTTTTTTGCTGATGACTCAATTTTATACTCCTGACTTGACAAAAAGTTTTTTTGATTGCTTTAGAGTAAGCAGCCGATCTTGAATCTGATTTCACTACTGTAACAGACTGGGTCTTGCAGTTACTAGTAAATTATAACTTCTTCAAAACTCATTTACTCACTGCAAACAACTATTGCAATACTGCCAACATTTTTATTAAAGAATGACAACCCTGTCACTGAGTACTTTTTTATGTCTTGTAGGATTGTCATTTACTAGCTCTTTTCATGGAAACTATATATACATTCAAATTTTAAATTTTTTTGATATATACATTCAAATTTTAAAATTTTTTAACTATAATATACATTCAAATTTTAAATGAATTTGAGCAGGTGTTTTTTTTAAAAAAAACATCTGCTAAAATTATTTCCTTTATTGTGGTTGCCATTTTCATACTCCTAATTTCATTCTTTACTTTTACAAACGTTTAAAAAACACATATTTTGGCATTTAGCCTTCCTAAAAAAACAAAAAGTTTAATATTGGAAGCAATTTTGAAGAAATAGGGTATAATAGACATATCTACTAAAGAGGTGTTTAAAAAACCGGAGGAGACGCTTTCAAACTTTTGCCACCCACACCGTGTTTATTAGTCACATCCCCCCACTCTGTTTTTTTACTTTAACAAAAAAATCAGTCAATTATAAGTAAAAAAATTTTCAGTCTACTAAGGTTTTAAAAATCGTAGACTATTAAAAAATTTCGTAAATTTCGATTTGTCAAAATTTAGGTTTTTGTTTATTTCTTAACATAGTATAAAACTTAAGCATATCAAATGGTATTAAATTTTAATGTAAAATCAGCTAAAAAAAAATGCGCATTTGACCGCCATCCACACTAGAATTAAACTGTTTATTCATGTTCTGTAAAGATATCGCCCACCCTTTTAACAAGACCCTACCCTCTATTTATTAGATCTGGACTAAAAAATCCACCAAGTTATATTCCCATTCCCTCTTGTAAAAAAAACACGCACTAAAATTTTGGTATTCTAGTCGCTGTCATGGAGGATAACTTATGTCATGCCTAAAATGCGCCATGCCGAAACTATTGTTAATATCTTTAAATATCATAGGATATAAGGTACGAGGTTGGTACAACGGTAAGGAAACACAGAATCACATAAAAAAACATAAACCTTGCAATAAAATAATTGAAACCTTACCTGCTATAACTATGGTGACCAGACGTCCCAGTCTGTATAAATCTTTATCTCATACTTCTTTTTTGAACTCAACCTGTATTGTACTACTTATTACTACCTTAAAGTTTTTCGTGATTTTCTCCAAGATAGTCTTTCAGCTAATGTCTTGCTTCATTCCGCAAAAAAATGTGGTTCCTACATGATACCTTGATAAAAGCAGAAATAAAAGCTTCTTTTTTGTCTATTCATTCCTTCTCGTCGGTTCCAAATCAAGCTCCAATTTACTTTATGGTTCTTACCTACATTGTACAGCCTCTATAGCTAATCGTAATCATTTTTTCAAAAGAACAACCCTCTTGAAAACAAACAGCTATTTGTTTTTGCATTATATTGATTTAAAAAAATGTTGTCTGATTCTAAGCCCCATTATTCTCAGTTCATTTAACCTCGTATCTTTTCTCAAATTTTACGCTCTAGACACTTAAAGAAAACCTTCAACAGCGTCAATGAAAAAATTAATGGCGCTGACATTACCTTTTTCAAAAGAGCCAAAACAAAATCTCTTATTGATGGGACTGATATTATAACCTCTACCAAGGACAGGTTTTCCGGGATCACCCCCGGAAAAAAACCTGTATATATATATATATACATATATATATATATATATATATATATATATATATATATATATATATATACATATATATATATATACATATATATATATATATATATATATATATATATATATATATATATATATATATATATATATATATACATATATATATATATATATATATATATATATATATATATATATATACATATATATATATATATATATATATATATATATATATATATATATATATATATATATATATATATATATATATATATATATATATAGTGTATAGTGATTTTACAGATATCTTTTTTACTGCAACATTAAAAAAAATTGCAAATAGGGCTGCTAGCTGGAACATGTTCAAATTTGAACGTTCGTACTTTACGCCCAAATTTTAACGTTCAGGTTCGAACTTTCAGAAGAAATGTCTTAACGGTCATTTTGATAAATGCAGCTAAAATGTAAATAAAAATTAGAGTTTTGAAACTGTTACATTTTTTGAAAACAATGTTCTTTCCTTTTTGATTTATTTGCAGTTATTCAAATTTTAGAAAAACAGCATTTGTGTGGTCACTCTAAAAATACAAGCATAATAACGTAACGTGTTAAACCATTGCAATTCATAATGTGTCATTTTTTTCACGTTAAAAATTAAACAAACTGTGACCGTTTGACCGCTATTGATTTACGTTAAAAAAATAAAAACATTAGGTAAAAATAAATCATGGCAACTTTCAAAGACGTTAGCACATCCAGAAGATCTGAGGTGTAAGACTATTTTGGATTTTTTCTAAGAGCTGCAACAAACCAAATGTAAAATACGTGCTCAAGGATATAATTTGCCCAAAAGTCATCTAAGTGTTCGTTTTTTAGCGATGAAATACTTTGAAATAATCAAGAAACAAGTAATTGCTTCATTACAAAAAGCCGTTTTAACTAATGGTAAATTTAGCCTAACATTTGACAAGTACACATCAGTGAAATACAGGAGATTCATGAACTTGAATATTCATTAAAACGGAGGAGTTTAATCTTTTGGAATATTAAGGTTACATCGCACAATCCCAGCATCAAAAGCCATTGAACTAATTGGTAAAAACTCCTAAATCATTTGGTTTAAACTTAGACAAATACATTGTGGCCTCTGTTACAGATGGAGGCAGTTTGATGAAAAATGACACTAAATCTGAAAATCAAAATTGCTACAATCATGCTATCCATTTATGTGTAATTTATGTTTTTTTTTTTAAAAAGTGCTATACTACCAAATGATAATTTTGAAAATGAATCTGTCTATACCCTTGAAGTTGGTGATACCATTGAAGTTGGTAATAAAAATGTAGTTAATAATACCATTGAATTGGTGATACTATTGAAGTTAATGATTCTATTGAAGATATTAATGAAGATAATGATGGTGATAGTGAGGAAGAAGATGAAAATTGATTATGTTAAAACAAATCAAATATCTACTAAAAATTTGGTACCCTAATTGAAAACTGAATTTCAAGAGCCGACGGCCGAAATTCTAAAATTAGTACAAATGTTTCGCAGATCACCATTAAAAAATGATAATGATCTTAAATGATGATCACCAGTAAAAAATGATAATGATCTTAAGTCAAATATTGTTAAAGAATTTGGAAAAGGAAAAGCTTTGATTTGTGACTCCAGGACAAGGTGGAGCAGCACAATTGCTATGCTAGAACGGTTTTTGGAAGTCCAAAAAGAAATAAAAATAGCTTTATTTAGCAAAAACACCTATTTTCCTCTCTCTAAGAGTTAACTTGATAAAGCTAATAACCTTTATGTTGTCCTAAAGACGCTCAAACTAGCTATGGAAACAATTTCCAAACGTGATGCTGATTTATTGTCTTCTAAAATTATAATTCAATTTATCCGGAAAAAATTGGATGAAGCCAACACGGCAATTAGTTAACTTGTAAAACCGTAATTTAAAAAAATAATTGTTGAAAGGAGAAACATAAAGTTAATGCATCTAATGAAATATTTATCAAATCCAGATGTATTGAATCAAAATGATCAGTTTCGGAATAAAATAAAAAGAAACACTATAGCAAATTTTGCTACCAATCTCATTCAAAGATTGTTCCAGTATTGCGAGGAAGACTATGATGCTGATGGAGAAGTTAATTACAGTGATATAACTGATGATATGAAAAATAATTACATTAAATTGACTTTAGCTCAAGAACTTAAACATTTCTGATTTTCAAATGACAGTAGACAAAGATGAACTTGGATTTTACCTAATTAAAAAGAAAATGGTTCTTTTTGAAGCCAGCAAATCAAGACCTAAAAATTTAAAAACGCTTTTTATTGTTCTTAAACTATTTCTCCGACATCTGTGGAGGCCGAAAGGGCTTTCTCTAGACTAGGATTATTTACAACAAAAATAACAAACACTTAAACATACTGAGCAATGTTGTTTATTCACAAATAGAAAATTTTTTCAAGTTAAATGTAGTGAAAATGAGAAGCGGGTCTCAATAATAAACGGTTTTGTTTTTATACAGTTTTATTAAAAGATAAATAAACAGTTTTGTTTTTCACTTCTATTCTTTTATTTTGCGTGTTTAATAAGGGAGGTCGATTTTTGAAATCAACTTACCTGTGCCCTCAGATAGCTAGAGTTTTTTAAACAAATAAAGAACTAATTAAAACTTTTTAACAAATTTGCTTCAGTTTTTTCGCGTTTAAGTTTATATGTTCATTTTTTTCATTTTTTACGGCTTAAAAAATAAATTCGCAATTCAAAAGAAACAAGAAAGTTCTGAAAACGCGGGAAAAATTTACCAAAAAAATTGTAAACAAACCGATCGGCTGAATAATAATAATAATAATGAATAAAAAAAGTGCTGTTGAAAAAAAATGCAGTAAATGGCTCCAAAAACTAGACAAACCACTAAAAAACTCATCGGAGGTTCAAAAAGCGATTTTCCTGTAAGCGATTTACCAACTTATAGAGACATTTATAGATACTTTTATTTCGTACAATCCGAGTTAAAAAATAAATCAAACATAATTGATAAAACCCAACAAGAACTTGTGAAAATTTGGTTAAAAGTAAATCCAAAATTGCCCTTGATAAAAAAGTGAATCAATTTATTTAAAATTGGTCAAAACATTTAACACAATGAAACTTATTAATGGAAAAAAGTGCAAAAAAAGACCTCAAGTTGCAGCATATAATGCGTTGGAAAATCTTTATGATATATCTACCTGTAGATGCAATTTAGACAAAGTTCCCTGCTATGATGATAGGGTCAAATGCAAATATCTAACCTGCAATAATAAACATTTAGTATGTGTTTGTCCTCCAGAGTGCAAGGTTAGTTAAGAATTTAACTTTTTCTACAGAGTTTTTTTGAACTTTCTTCACAAGAGTTTATCTACTTATTTATCATTTATTTATCATGTTTTTTAAATAAATATATGATATTTTATTTAAATTTGCTTAGATTCCGCTGGAGGAACGAGAATACATCAAAGACCAAAGATCAAGAAATGGCACAAAAGGAAACATTCAGTTAGGGCCAGTAGATTGGAGCACTGTAAAAAAAGAAAAAAGAAGAGTAGGAAAGTGTTCTAATGTTAAAGTACCCTCATGTGATAATGGCGAATCATCTTTTGATATAAATTTGGAGTCTGATACAGTAAGAATAAGAACAAGTTTATAGTTTTCTCATTCAAATGATATATATATATATATATATATATATATATATATATATATATATATATATATATATATATATATAAATATATAAAGATGAATGCTTTAATATATAAAAATATTAAATTTTAGGAATCATCATCAGATTCAGAATATAATGAGTCAATTGCTATTTCAACATATAATTTAAGAAAGCTGGATAACTTTGCTTTAGAGTGTGTTCGGTTAGTAACTTTTAGTTTAAGTAGTTGTTTATTATTACATAATACATATTTGTGTTGTTTATTTAGTTTTTGAAGTTTTCTTTTAAATTTGTTCTCCTCAAAATTTCCAATTATTCAGGAATTTTCCAAATAAAAAGTGTTTTTAAAAAAATAATAAGAATAAAAATAATTTTCCAAATTAAAATTTTTCCTACAAAAAATACAATGGAAAGACTTGAAAATGCTGTTTTTATGGATGTGTTAGCAATTTATATTTGAACTTGGTTATAATCTACTCTATTATGTTTTCGCATAAAATTGTTTATTTTATTGTAAATTTTTAGGTATGCGGTATCGAGTGAAGCTGCTGCAGCTCTTGGTAATGGACTTTTAAAAGATCTTGGAGTTATTACTAAAACTGATAAAACTGATGTTTTAGATAAAAGTAAAATAGATCGAGCTAAAAAAAGGGTTTGTCTTCAGTCTGTTGCTGAACACAATACCATAGTGCAAAATCTATCATGTATTGGATGTGACAGTAAGGATGATAAAGGTAGCCTGGTTTATAGAAGTATGTTGTCAGATAGTATTAGCAAAAAAAATAAATTAATAGAAAAGGTTTATCATCTAAGTTTTACAGTAGAATCGGGAGAAATAAAAGGTAGATATCTGACACACAAAGATATTTTAAATGCCACAGGAGAAAATTTAGCGCAGTCTACTTTTGAAGTGTTAAAACAATACAACAGTGTTGATTCTTTGTTAGGAATTGTTTTTGACAATACAAATGTCAACACTGGATATACAACTGGCCTTTGTGCCAGCCTTGAAAGAAAACTTGGCAGAACAATTCATAAAACTGGCTGTGCACTTCATAGCAACGAGTTACCTTTGCGCCATATTATAGAACAGCTAGATAGCGGTACAAACACTCCGCAAACATTTTTTGGTGAAATTGGAAAAGGTGGAGCACAAGACCTTCATCATAAACCCATTGCCAAATTCGAACCTGTTTTGACTTCTTTAGTTTTTCTAGAAAATAGTGTGATCAATGATATAAGTTCTGATCATTTATTCCAGTTATTGCTGGAATATGTGTGTGGTATAAGTTCAGGTAAGCATATTTTAAAAATACATAACGTAAAAATTAATCTACTTAATGTATTTAATTACAGGCGTTTACTCCTATTACAATTTATTGCTAAAAAAAACATTTAAATCTATTTAAATTTAGGTGTTGTAAATTCAGTTTACGCTCATTATAAAATTGGTCCAGTTAATCATGCTAGGTAGCTGACATTAGCAATACGTATTTTAGTTTTGTATTCAAGAACAGAACAACCTACTCCTGTCCTTAAAGAGATAGTAAATTACATACAGACAGAGTATGGCCCCACATGGTTTGCTATTAAGAAATCAAAGAACTTTACTGAAGGGCCAAAAATTTTATACACAACATTAAAAAGTATAAAAATTTTTAGCCAAACTATACAAGAAATTATACTACCTGTTGTTTTAAGAAATGCGTATTGTCTTCTTCCAGAAAACTTTCTTTTATCCTTTTTTGTTGATGATTTGAAAGAAATACGAAACAGAGCAGTTAGGCTGATTTTAAAATGTCGAGATAATCCTCCGGCTGCCCCAGTTTATAGAATATATGGTGGTATCAGAATTAACAAAATCCCAAATATTGAAAATCTTGAAATTGAATGTAACACATGGGCAGATCTGCTTTCTGATGATAAACTGATCTATGAACCTCCTGCTACTAAGAACCTGACTTATCTGGAACTACTCAATACAATTGAATGTAAACCAGATCCTTGTGAGCTTGGTTGGGACTTTCCGCTACATAGTCAGTCTGTTGAGCGTGCTGTAAAGCTTGTTTCTGAGGTTTCAAAAAAAGCCTATTCTTTACAGAATAGACATGGTTTAGCAGTAGGGAAGCAAAAAAGTCGAATATCATGAAAAAAGTTTTATTCAAAAAAAGAATACGATGTATAGTATCCATTGTTTTTAATTTTCTCAACACTCCAATGCTATAATTTATAGTATTATAACAAATTTTAAAGTTAATTAAATAATTAAATTTTTTGTCATAATTAAATTTTTTGTCTATGTTTAAAGTCTATCTATTTATAACCAAAATATAATTGAAATATTTATTAGTTGCTAATTTTTTTAACTATTGTTAAATTATACTTAGGAAGCTAAGGCCGTGCTCTACTTGGTATATGAAACGATTGCACTTGAGGATCTGAGAATATTTTGAAAACTAATTATTTTTTTCAATCTAAAACCAAATACTTTTGTTTAGCTGTAACGTTGTATAATGAGTGTTAAATTTAAATTTTATAATACCTAAGTTAAACAAAAAATTAATCCCTCTTTGTTTGATAATCTTTGAGTATTTAAAAAACTAAAAAATTATTAAAAAAAAGTTTAATTACTTTTTTAAAAACGCAGCTATTTTTTTGCTACCTTTTTTTCAAGTTCATACAACAGTGACAGATCCAGGGGGAATGGAAAGATGCATAAACAACCGGAATCTGAAAGTACTAAAATTTCTTAGAAAAAGAGGACCTATTTTTTTTTAGGAGACTTAAATCTCATACAAAATACAAAAATAAATTCACCCCCCCCCCACCAAAAATTCTTGGATTTGTCACTGTCATGCAACCCTGTAAAATTCAACCTCAACTTGTATTTAAACTGTTTTATAACTAAAAATAGTATATAGTTAAAGGCTGCAAAGTAAGACCGGGAATGCCACAGTTTTGATTATTTAAAAAAAAAATTGAAGAATTATCTAATAACATATGGTTTGCAGTTTTTAAGTGTAAAGTTAGGGGTAACTGGAAATTTTCGGTAATGATTTTGCTAATTTATAACGACGCAGCAACATTCGTTCTGTAAATGGAAGCAAGAGATCTAAAAAATCGGAAAATATAAAATTACTTTTTTTGGATTACACTCTTCAATTGTTGCATAGATTTTAAGTAAAATTGACGTTTTTACTGAATTTTTCTTTTCATTTGCGAAAATTTGGCTTGCATAGAAAAAAAAAGCAAGATTGTTCTTAAATCCTGACATGATTTCCCAGCTATCTGAGGGCATAGCAAGTTAAAATTTTGAAAAAAGTACAAAATCGACCTCCCTTAGTGTTTAAGTGCATTAAAAAAAGTTCAAAAAAGTTCGAACTTTTTTCCAAAATAGTTCAAAAATTTTCAATATCGAACTTCTAAAAAAAAGTTTGAATTGGCAGCCCTAATTGCAAACAAAATAGTATAAAAAACGACCAATTTTTAGTTAAAAGTTTTTTTTTTCTATATGAAATTTAAGCAATTCATTTTTAAACCATTATTATTTCTGAAATCTTTATAAAATTCTGGTTCGTTTGAGATCCAGGTTGATATACTTTTGAAAAAAAATTAATTGATATATGGTAGCCAGTGTGTAATCAAGGGTCATGGTGGGTGACCTTTTTTTAAAAATTAAAAAAACCAACGACTTTTCAGTTACTTTTAAACCAAATTTCATCTGTTTGTTATATTGGAAACCGGAGGTACAAAGAAGTCTCAAATATATCACATCTCAAATATATCACTTTTTTTCATGTCTTTTCAAACCCTTTTTCGTTTTTTTTGCACAACTTGCATGGTATCCTGTAAAAGATCTTCGTAATGACTTTTAGCCACAAAATCTTGTTTGGTGTGGCGCTCATCCCTGTCATTTACTACTGCTAGATTCTCCATTTGATGTTGAAAATGTCTGCAGGAATCATTTTCAAACTTATCCATTATCCCTCTGTTTATTACTTCCGTAGTTATACCTAGATATGTGAAGAGCAGCCAGTAATCCTTAGTAATAAAGTCAGACAAAACTGACATGGTAACCACATGTGTTTAAGGGTAAGGTTGTTCCTTTTCAAAGTCATTAGGTTGCAGACAATTAAAACCTAGCAGCTTCTGAGCTAGTCCAGCTATTTTTTCAAAATTTTTATTATTATTTACTATATATTTATATATATTTATTATTTATATATTTATTTATTATTTATTATTTATATATTTATATTATTTATTATTATTTACTATATATATATATTTACTATTATTTCTAAATTTCGATTTGCTATTGAAAGAATAATAAGCTTTGGGCTCAGGAACCAATTTTGTCGGACCAAGCTTGAATGGAGCAGCTTTCCCAGAGGACCACACTTGGATATATATAGCTTATTGCTCATCATTTCAAAAGCTAGCTTAAAAGCTCCAAATCATGTAATGGAGCCTGAGCCGCCAGAGGAGACTTTGCTATTATAGCATGCTCCATAAAATGTAAAAATAAAGTCAGTTGACAGTTTGAGCATATCTTTCTCACTTTTATTCTGTATAACAACCATAAAACAAGATTGCTTTCAAAGATGAGATTATAAAGTTCTTTGTGAACTTGTAGTCATCTACCTTGGTGGCCATGTACCTGGTTTCCAGTTTAAACAACCAAGTACCCACCATCAAGCAAGGTTTATGGCTGATACTTGTCTATACTTGCTTACAATGCAGCTGACTTCAAATATTAATTTAAAGTTTAATTAAAATGAGCCTTGTTAAAAACAAAAAAAAAAGTAAAGAAAGAGTTTACAAGGATCTTTCAATAAATAATGTTCTTGACAAGTGGGTTTCTTTTTTGACTAGGTACAAGGTCAGCATTCAAGCTGAAACTTCCCTTCTTTCCTCACTTTTCATGATTGGTGGTGTTGATTTTAATGCAGTTCCTGTATCAAAGAGTAATCTACATAGAAACAAAAAGATTGTAATTGAAAACTAGATTAGTCAGAGATGAAAATCTAGACAAAGTTAGGGGTTTAAAAGTTATCATTTATTTTGATGCAAAACTGGTTAAACACTATCGAGCTGACAAAAAATATCTGAAACTGTAGAAAGGCTAGCTGTCATTATATCTATAATGACAGCTCTAATACTGGAAAATACCATGGTGCAATTAAGTTCTTGTTGGATCATGTGCTTAAAAGACCTGCGCTATGTAATTAAATATTTCAACAAAAAAATTTGTTGCACAAAACTTTTGCAAAACTTATACATTTTGTATCTTTTCCAAATTTATCTTTTAAGGCATTATACATCTGAAAGGCATAATTCCCATGCAATGGTTTATATTCAAGGTTCAAAAAATCTCCATCACGTGCAATGAATAAAGATTTTCAAAAAATCTGGCCCGAAATAATAGAAAGAGCAAATAATGCCAATCAGTTGCTTTTTTTTTTAATATGGAAAAGAGGAGTATATGGTAGGTACCGATTTTATAGATACCGAGAGATAGGTTGGTACCGTATAGGTATATATATAGGTAGATACCGAGAGAAAGGTATTAGATACAAGACCTTCTGCATAAAAATCCTAAAACAAGATTGCTTTCAAAGGAGAGATTATAAAGTCCTTTGTGAACTAATAGTCATTTACCTTGGTGGCCATGTGCTTGGTTTCCAGTTCAAACAACCAGGTACCCACCATCAAGCAAGGTCTATGGCTGATTTTCTATACTTGCTTACAATGCAGCTGACTTTGAAGAATAATTTAAAGTTGAATAAAAGTGAGAAAAATATGATACACTGTCGGTATTAGTGGCATTTGTACCACTTGAAGTTAATTCTCTCTCAAAACCTTTCATTCTTTCTATATCCTCACTAGCTTTTTTATTTGACATTTCTTGTTTTTCTTTTTTTTAAATTAATTTAAAAAGTTAAATTAATTGAAAAAGAAATTACTTTTAATAAAATTAATTTTTTAGACATTTCTGCCATTCTTCATAATAATAAATATATCAAAACGGATATATTTTATAAAGAAACTAACGTTCATGATTATTTAAATTTTAATAGTCATCATCCTTACAATACCAAATACAACATTCTGTTAAATCTTGCAAAAAGAATAATCGTATTTACATCTGATTATACCACAGAAAAAATACGTTTAACAGAACTTAAATTATGGCTGAAAGAATGCAATTACCCGGACAAAGTTATTGAAAAAGCATTTCATAATGCAAAACTGCAAGGACCAGCTCAACAAAAGAAAGCTAAAGTAGTCTTTCCTTTAGTCACTACATTTTGCAGTAATATAAACTGCGAGCCTATACAAACTAGAACTAATCTTCTATTCAGTTTACCCTCTAATGAAAGAATACAACAAATCTTTTCTAACATTAACCCTGTAATAGCTTACAAACAACCACTTAATTTACTGAGACAACTTATTTCTGCTAAATTTAATTCCGTAGCACCTAACAATAAAAATATAGGTATTTTTAAATGTAATGATAGTCGTTGCAAAAATTTGTCAATTTTACCTGCAAGAGGTAAAAAATTTTGAAACATCCAATGGTACTATCTGGACCATTAAACGTCATGTTACTTGTAACAGCAAGAACGTAATTTGTTATTTA